GACAGCTTTTTGTTTCGTGACTTACAGGACATTTTCTCCCCGGGTGAATTCCACATTCTTCCTCCAGTACTTTTCCTTTGTACCTTATACTTAATAGGAAATTACATTAACTTTTCTGAACCCAGGAAAGCAAAATGCAGTGTGGTTTTCAAAAGCTGAAGTAAGATCTTGGTAGACTGTTGGCTTGCAATCAGGTCCTGTGAAATACATATATATATACAGCTTGTAAGCTTTCCCATTGCTTGTGTCCATTGTGGGAATATGAAGGTCCAGGGTTTTGGTTTTCACTGGTGATACAGCCAGCTCATGCTGTTTGCAGTGTCACTGAGACTTCTGTGATGAGCTCTGAATTCAGCCACTACGTGCTTTTCAACTCCAGACAAGCCAAGTTTCATAGTTTTGCTGATTATACATCAGTAGTGACAGTGTTAGCTAGTGAGGTTAAAGAGGAAAAGCACAATATGTAAGAAATGACTGATGAATGTTGCGCTCCTCTTAAATCTTACTCTAATTAGTCTAATCTTAGCCTACCAAACTGCGTGAACTTGATAGGAAAGCTGTTGAGTGTTTTGCCTCTACTCACATCCCCATCCTATCTCCCCTTGGGGACAGGGAAGGAGAAACACAGTTGATTTGAAGTGAAACAAAGTATCTTGGAAGAGTAATTTTTATTCTGATTGCTCCCTTTGGTATGTTTAGTTCTGACTGCAGGTCTTGCAAATGGTACTGAAGACACAGTTGCACAGAATCCCTTTTGCAAACACCTGCCACCCTGGGACCAGTAACATCTTGCTGTTTCTTTTTATTTTCTGTTCCCTGTGTCCGTTTTGCAAGTACTGAATCACAGAAATCTTCATGGGTGGAGGGGACCTTTGAGATCGAGTCCAGCCACACAAAAACCCCAACAAAAACAAACAAACAAAACCCCCCCAAAACCCCTACAAACAGACACAACCCCACAATCTCGGGTGCTAGAGCATGCCCTGAAGTGCCACCTCTACACGTTTCTTCAATCCCTCCAGGGATGGTGACTCCACCACCTCCCTGGGCAGGCCCTTCCAGGGCCTGACCACCCTCTCAGCAAAGTCATTCTTCCTCACATCTCATCTAAACCTCCCCTGCCCCAACTTCAGACCATTTCCTCTGCTCCTGGCATGATTCCCTTGGGAGAAGAGGCCAACACCCACCTCTCTACACCCTCCTGTCAGGGAGCTGTAGAGGGCAATGAGGTCTCCCCTCAGCCTCCTCTTCTCCAAACTCAACATGCCCAGTTCCCTCAGCCTCTCCTCGTAGGACTTGTTCTCTAGACCCCAAGACCAAATACCCTCTGAACCTATTCATGCCAAGAACTCTTGAAAAATTATCTCATTTGATTGAATAATTCTTGTGAATATGTTATTTCAGGTTATTGTAGCTGTATTGTAGGGTGTTTCTGTACTACTAAAATGTCCTGTCTTTATTTGGCTTTTTTTAAGCATAGCTCTCCATCCATATTCATTAATAAATTACAGATACTAACCCAAATGCCCACCTGTGAGACCTAAAGGTGGGCACCTAGCTCAGTATTACGGGCATGTAAGCGTGAGTCTTGCTTCTCTGCTCCCTTCTGAGCATCTGTGGGGTGAACGCTGCACTCAGGTGTTGGGTGCCTAATAAGATTTAGATGATGTTTTGAGAGCCTTAGGTTAAGAAACTAGAGCTGTTCTCTATATACCAAATTGCTCATTTCTCCTTAGGTGGGGCGTTGGGTTTGCTGTAGGCTGGACGTGTGAGGTTATTATCTTGTGTTAATTGATAGCAAACAGAGGTGAAGACCTAACTTCACAGAGAAGACAAATTGTCTTTCAGCTGAGACACCTTTTGGTGGCTGGTTGATGTGGTACTGGTCAGAAATGGGAGCTTGCTCCCAGTGGGCGTTTGTGCCGTCCTCCGACAGCCATTTTTTTGTGTGCAGTTTGAATGTGATGAGAAGATACTTAGGCAACCTTGTTAACGAACGCTGTCATGTACTCAATTTGGCCAATACCCGCTGTGCATGCACCCGGCTTGGGCTCAGCAGCCAATCCCTTAACTCCCAACCTGTGGGCTCTTCCAGTTTGCTGACGCGCTCCCGCTGGCTCTGCAGGGAAGCCGTGGGATCTGCGGTGCTCCTCCGATTAAATCTTTTCTGATTGACACGCTTCCTGGGAAGAGCTACCAGAGTTCACCCTAGTACAACTGCGTATTGTTTTTGCACCTACCGCTGTCCTTCCTCCTGGTGTAACTGTCCAAAAATACATGTATGGATTTAGACCACAGTTGCAGAAGAGCCTCGCGATGAAATCTGGGGATATTTGCATGTTTGATGCTCGTAGGGTCCTGCACCCCTTGGGCTGCTCGGTGGTCATACTGCTACATGGTCTCACCCTACTTCTTTGTTGCTCCTTTTTTTCTGGAGAGTTGTTTTGCACCAGAGGGGGGGGAGTTGGTGTGTGGGTGTTTGAATGCTGCTATTTGCTGTTTTTTAAAGGACTTCTAGCCCTCCCATGGGGTTACTGCAGCAGGAATTCATACCTGTGCTACAGCCCAGCATACAGACTGCTGACAGGTACCAAGTGGAAAAACCCCGCTCATAGTGTGCTGTGTTTTGTCAACATGTTTTACTGCCCATGGTTTTCAGCAATTTGTTACTCAGTATTTATCTTTGTTTTTTTCTTTTTTTCTTTTTCTCCATTTGTGCCTACATTGCCTGGCAAACCATGTTGTTCTATTATAACATTTATTTTTCTTTTTCCCATAAGTTGCCAGTATCTGTGTCCTTTCAATTTAATAATCACTGTTGAATTTAAACAAAAAAATGTAGAAATCTCCCCCAATGTTCAATCATGTATTAGGAAGAGCATAACCCTTTCTTTTCAAGATACTGGTTTCTGGATCTGTTTGTAGCTACTTTTCTTTAGTTGTCCTGAATTCTGTTTTCTGTTTCCCAGTTGTTACATGACACACATCTTCAGAAGTGCAGCTGGCTTGCTCAGTAGCTGTAGGTTGTCTATTCTCCTTTAGGTTGTAACTGACCGTAGCACTCGGCTGCCAGCAACATTTAAGACAGTAAAGATGGAAAACGGGGCTTATCTCTGAAAAACCTCTGAATAAGCTGGAGTATTTTCAGTGCAGTTTTGCTTCGCTCAGCCTAGCTTATCAATGAATGGCCCAGCAGTCTCCAGGCTAGTCCCTTCTTTGCCTTTTCCACCTCTTACAGAGGTCTCTGCTTATTTTTTTTTTTGGCAAAGAAGTCTCTTCTCAAATGCTGGACTTGCTAATTGAAGTGGAGCTGGGGTGGTGGTGTTGGTAAGGGGAATTCCCAGGCTTTTCCCTTTCTCATTTCCAGCATCCCTGGATTGGCATAGATAGCTTCACCCTTTATTTTTTATTTCCTTTCTGTCTTTCAGTGTGCTTGCTTGCTTTGGTCCAGCTCTTACCTTCTTACCCACGACTCAGGACTTGTCTCGATGTTAGCATTATGCTTTTCTCTCTCATTTAATTTATGATGCTCCTTTAGTAGTGCCAGGGCTCTCATTTCAGGGCCTATCTTTTGCTTCCCTTCCCAAGTAGGGCTTGGGAGTAAATGTCACAAAGTCTTGTGGTCTGTCTTACCCAGTTCTGGAGCAGTGCAAGTGAAGTGCAGTGCTTTGGTGCTGCAGAATGTTGTTTTAAGGACAAGATTTAAGTATCAAGCGCTACAGGCCAGCGTGAGGACAAAGAACTGTTTATAAGAATGGCCTTTAACAGGGCAGCATCCCAAGAGTTTCCCCAGCCAGCATTGCTTTATCTTGCTCACTAGCTGAACCCTCTGTTTGAAAACAAGTCCTGAACTTCTGCTCAGAGTAAACGTGACCCCCTGCCTGGTGTCTGGTATCTTCACAAGAGCTGGCTTCTACTGACACACACTCACAGCCTGGCTTGATTTGGGCTTTGTGTTGACCTCCGAAACGTTCACTGCGCCTTTCATTAGTCAAGAGATCAGTGCCCACAAGATGATATAGCTCCTTCCTGTGCTTTCTTACTGGCACAAGATGCCCTCTGCTCTTTATGGTGGCAGTTGTCTGTCCCCTTCCTCCAGGGAAAGCAGGTTCATCTTTTCATTCTTCTTTCAACCCCAACTGTTTATAGAAGTGATTACAAGGAGGAGGTGGTTTGGGCAGCAAAGGTAGAGAGAAAAAACTCCCATCCCCAAGCAAGGAGAACTCTGTACACGCTGGGTTGAGAGGATGGATTTTCCTGTCAGCCAGAACAGCAACATTTTTCCCCCCAGACAGTCATAACCAAAGCAGTGAGAGCCTAGACTTTTATGGAACTTCTAACTGTTGAAAGACTTGTAAGCTACGAAACACATGATTTTTAAAAAACAGCATAGCAAGGACTATTTGGGTCTCCTTATGTAAACTCGGTTATCACCAGCACCTTTACAATTACTGTAGTGCACCAAATAACTGTTATTTGATTATTATTTTTTTTCTCTGTCTCTCTTTCCTTCATGGCTTAAGGCATCACACAGTTACCCGGGGCATAACTAAAGGAGTGAAGGAAGATTTCCGCCTGGCCATGGAGCGCCAGGTCTCGCGCTGTGGGGAGAATCTCATGGTGGTCTTGCATAGATTCTGCATTAATGAGAAAATACTGCTGCTTCAGACACTGGCTTGAACGGACTGGATCACGATGGGGTGTCTCTTACAGAGAGAGGAGAAGGCTCTTAATTGTAGGAGCAGCAGCGTGGCAGTGGAAAAATCACTTGTTGAGCGAGTTCAAAGAAGGTACCTATGAGTTACAGGTTGTGCAGCACACAAACACTCCTCAGTGTTTGTTCACCGCTTAGTTTTCTTATGGGGGTAGATCAAACTTTATAAATAAATCTTTGTTTTTCTGTAATGTCCTATTTGTTTTGGATTTTTTCCGTAACATTCTACTAAGGTGTGTGTCTTACTTCTTTCCGTCTTTACACATACACAGAGAACACAGCAGGGTATTTCCAGGCTTTTTATTAGTGCTAGTTTGGAAATCACAACATGAGTGAATTTCCTAAATCACAACATGAGTGAATTTCCTGAGTTTTCCAGAATTATTAATTGGTCCACTCACTCTTCCTTTATGGCTGAATTCTACCTGTGTTGCTGGTTTTCAGATTCGGGGTCCTTTTGTAGATCCATTTATAAAAAGGATTGTTTTGATTGAACTTTGTTGATCATACAGACTCAGTAGGAACTGGCCTTTCTGCACTCTTGAAATGCAGCACATGAAACGTGGACCTCATCCACGCGACAAGGATGTAACACAAAGGCCCAGAATGTGCACAAGAGGGGCTGCTGAACCTGTAGCAGCAGCACGCCCATTAATAAGCCGACGGAAGAGATTTTCAGAAGCAGGCTTCAGGAGGATCCTGCACCTAAGGTTTTGATCCGAGGCCCAATTGGAAGAACACAACGCAGAAGGGTGAGTTGAGCCACCCGCTTTCCGCAGCACGGAGGTGCCCTTGAGCTTTCCCAGCCACTCACTGCACTGCCGGCCCGAGGGCTGGGTGAGGCTGCTGCCCGTGCTCTCCCAGTCAAAAAGAAGGCCAAGTTAGCTGTGTGCCAGTAGCCGGGGTGGCACAGGCATGCAGCAGGTGCCAAGGGTATATACAGAGCCCAGACCACGCCAGTTAGGTGCAACGACTCTTGCCACAGTCCCGTTCTCAGTCACCACCCAGATCCCTTGCAATTCCCTTTTGTAAGCACCGTCAGGCTGTCCTTGACTGCCCAACTGTTGCAATATGTTCAGTTTCTCTACAGGAAGGAGGGAGATCAGTAAAATATTTACAAAATACAGAAAGCAGAAAGAGAGCAAACCGCAGCAGACTAGTAAGTTTTTGCTAAATAGGAAAATACTGTCCCTTAAGTCACATAAAAGTCTTGATGACAACTTGCACAACATTGTAAACTTGAACCAGTATCCCTTTTTAGTAATACAGCCTAGCACGAGTGGCCATATTTCAGGCTAATCCACCTTACACACTTGCCCCATCAGAATTTAGGGCTCATACACCTCAACCACCTCTATCAGATTTTCCAGAATATCCTTCTCCTGTAAAGTAAATACGATATTATGACCCAAAGAGTCGTCGCAGTGAGGTTTTGAGTCAGATGCTCTGCGTGGGATTGACTGTCTTGCATCTTCCACTTAAAAGGGAAATAATTTTCAAACACTTCATGTCCAATGTAGACCAGGATTGAGTTCATTCCTGAAAGTAAGCAGAGGTCACACCATCTGAAAGAACAGGCAGGAGCTTAATTCAGAGTAAGCAGGCAGAGGCAGGCCAGGCTTAGGAAACAGGGTGGCACCAAGAGAACAAGAGCTAATCACACCACCGAGCGTTACTTGCCCCAAAGATACTACACACGTGTGCTTTCAAATACAGTCTGAAGGGTTCTCTCCCCCAAAAATGAAAAGAAATACAGAGAGCTTTGAGAAAATTGAGAGCACAACCAAATCGCTATCCTGCAATTTTATTGACAGGGAGAATAATCATACTTACTGCCTTCAGTGGCCGAGTGCCAACCCATTTGGTCAGATCTATTGCCTTTGCAAACAAATGCTGAGTGCCCTTCAAAGCTCTGGGATTTCTGGTAGGAGATACGATACCCTGCTGTCACCCTACCCATCTTCCTGTCCAAACGCCAAAGCTGCTGAAAGGTTCCCTCTGCTGTGGGTTTGCAGTCTGTACTCAGATGTTTGCCAAGAGCCCGGCGTGGTTAAAACCACGGTGGGATGCTTTGGGAGACAGGCTTATCTACAAACACAGAGACAGAACCTACGCAGCTGCCCAGGGGATTTTGTCCTCCGCATCTTCAGAAGTGGTTATCGCTCTGCTGACGGGCTTTTTGAGCTTCCCATTAGGTTGCTCAAGTCTCAGCAGTCCTTTCCAAAACCAACTATGAACTAGCTGTGGTATTTTGCTTGGTACTAGGCAGCTGTTCCCCAGGACCTTAACTCAACACCAAACCCAGAACGGTCGTTGGGCAATAGCAGCATCCAGCCCTTATTTAAAGACCTGACAGTCCCCCCTCTCCTAAGTATCTGGTCTCCAATGTCCCAGTTCTGTGCAGAGATTCAGCCCCAGTTAATCATTCCGGCACCCTTCAGGTTACCTCACTCTAATTTCCAACTCTTTTAAAGGCAAGGGAAGTGCAGAAAACATAAAAGGATAGTAGCGGTGCAGAAAGAATTGGAAAGACTGTGTTTCCTGTTGCGATTTTACTGACCTGGATAGAAAAATGGAGCACCCGACCACAGTCTCTTGACATCCACAAGGTAATAGATCAGCAGTAAGAGGATGAAGGCAAAGCAGCTCATGGTTGTCACATACGATATTGACCTACAAACATTTTCAGTAGAAAGATTATTTAGAGAACTATGTGATACAGAAATATAAGAAAGGTAAAATCATTCTCCAAGGTAAAACAATACTTTAAAAAGATCATGTAAAAGTTGTATCTCTTTGCTTACCATAAGTTCTTGTTTATGGGAATAAACCCTTCTTCTTTAGAACATTTTGTCAAGATAGCAGAAATAATTCCCTGAAACAGAAAGTTGCTGAAGTTTATATAACCACTGCAACTCGTTTCAGAAATACTAAGTTTGCGTTGCGTAAAAATACATGTCTATTAAAGAGCTACATGACTATCTGACTTACCATGACTATGCTCCATATGAGGAACCGACTCATAATTTGTTTGTGCTGGTCTTTGTAGAACAAGATAATTTTTCCTGCCTAATATAAAAAAACAATACCAAAAAAAATGAATGAATGCTCATAAATGTAACTACATTTCAAGAGCCAGATACGTTTTGCCACCGGCTAATGAAATGTGCTAATGAATAGGATTTACAACAACTAAGTGGCTGAAAAGCTGAGAATGGGAACTCTTTGCAAAGAATAGACACAGATGGGGAAAACACCCACTCGGCAACAGAGTTGCACCTTTTCTACTGCCTTAGCACTGAAGAAGGGGACAAGCAACTTGATTAGGTTGACACAATGTGACTCAAGCTCCATCTCCCTCAGCAAGGACTGAATAATGAAGGAAAAGCATCGTGTTGACTCTCCCCAACCAGCCCCAACAACTTCACAGCACCACATCCCACCCTGGCCTGCTGGGAGCACTGCTAAGGAATGTGTCCAGATCACTTGTTCCTCAGCGTCACACTTCTGTTCTGAGCTCTCCCCTGAAAAGGTTCCAAATCAATTTCTACCTAGTGCTACACGAGGTAACATTCCTTCTGCCAGGTTAGATTCCACCTCTCTGATGCTCAGCTCAGGCAAAGTCAGCCTGAGAGCATTGCTCTGGAAAAGGTTTTGTTGGGACCAATCTCAGCCCTAAAGAAAGAAACCGAGTTCCCTCCCCACTTCCAAGATTCCTTCAAATCTTCCCATAATATAGAATCACAGAATCACACGGGGTTGGAAGGGACCTCTGGAGATCATCTAGTCCAACCCCCTGCCAAAGCAGGGACATCCAGAGCAGGTCCCACAGGAACGTGTCCAGGCGGGTTTGAATGTCTCCAAAGAAGGAGACTCCACCACCTCCCTGGGCAGCCTCTTCCAGGGCTCTGTCACCCTCCCAGGAAAGAAGGTCCTCCTCATATTTAGGTGGAACTTCTTCTATTCAAGTTTGTGCCCATTTCCTCCTGTCCTGTCCCTGGGCACCACTGAAAAAATACCAGCCCCATCCTCTTGACACCCTCCCTTGAAGTATTTCTAAGCATTGATCAGATCCACCCTCAGCCTTCTCTTCTCCAGACTAAAGAGACCCAAGTCCCTCAGCCTCTCCTCATAAGGGAGATGCTCCAGGCCCCTCATCATCTTTGTAGCCCTCTGCTGCCCCCTCTCCAGCAGTTCCCTGTCCTTAAATAAATATCACACAGCAGAAAGAAAAGAGGTACCTGCAGTCCCAGAAATGCCATAAAAATGGTATTTATGGTCCCCAGGATCCCTTCAGGATCATACGGCATGGTCGTTTGGTAAATCACCTTGGAGAAAAGAACCAATTGTTACAGGGCACCTGAGCAACCAGTCTCTTTCCTCTTCCCTCCCCTTGCAGGTGCCGTTCCCGAGCCCCTGCTGACAGCCACGCTCAGTGCCCGCCCGCAGCTTGGCCGCAAACCCAAAGCTACGTACGTTTGAAGAGGGATGCTGATAGATGTGGTTTTCTCCAAGAAGCAAACGATCAATGTAACCAGCTGCTCCTCCGGTGCAGTTGGGATAGTTCCCAAAGTCTCCAATGCCCCCAGGACCAAGATAGCCCCTAGGACAGAAGCAAACAGGTTATGGCACAAAGTCCTAGTACGCTCCACCTGAAGAGTAGCTGGTCCACTGGCCACTGAACGCCCCACGTTTTCCAGGCCCAGAGGTACACAGCAAAACAGAGGTCCTACGTGACAGCTGGCTGGTGGCACCCTGTTTTGATGATGGCAATGCCACGAGCAGGTCATGAGGGGACAGACAGTATGGGGAGCCCACAGCAACATTTTGGTTCAGCCCTGGCCACCCAGCTGGCTGCTCCACCTCCTCTGCTGAGGCTGGCACTTCAAAGGGGCAAAGATAGAGACAGGGATGATACTGCAATGATCCAGACCTCAGGGAGATTTTAATCATCTTCCTTAGATAGAAAGGAATGACGATATCACTTTTATAGCACCTGGTACTTTAGTTCCAAAGTAAAGGATGTTTTTTCACATGACAAATGCTTTCCTTAACCCCGCCGGCCTAAAAGCTCTCCTCTTCCTTCTTTCCCTACAGCTAATAAAATGTATTTTCTCCTCAGCAGAAGAAAAACAATCTGATGCCCCATCGAAAGTCATCTGAATGCACAGTCTTACCTGGGACAACCTGGCACCGGTAACAAAAAGGTCAGGCAGAGCCAAATCACTTCTAAGGTCAGAATGAAAATCCACTGTGGCCAGTAGGGGAGAATATCCTGCAGAGCCGGACACGGTGTCTCCTGCACGAGATGGAGGGAGGGAGATGTGAGCTGGCAAGTAAAAACCATGCCCTTGGGGACATCCTGTGCTTCCTGGCAGGCAGCTCCCCAGATAACAAGAGGGAGCTGTTGTCCTTACGAAACTGGGTTCTACCAATTGACCTTTCATCCTCACAAACCATTTCCAGATACTTGGTTACTTGGGGGAGGGGGAGAAACAAACCAACACAAAAGCCCACAATGTTTTTTAGCTTGGAAATGTCAAAAGGAATTTTGATTCATGAGCAGAACAAAAGCCTTTGGGGAAAACAGGCTCCAGAAAGGCCAAAAAGCAGTATTACTTTCCCCTGCTGTGAAAAAACGCTGCCAAAATTAACTGGACAAAACACAGGCCGCAGGACTCGGCAGAGAGATGCCTGTCCCTGGGGTCCCTTGGTGGTGGAAAGTCATCAAAAGTGCCTGGGAATGCCTGCTTCTGAGCACCATCTGAAGGGACTGGTGAAATCCTCAAATAAACCAAGCTAGGTGTGATAAGCTGCAGGCCGGGACACCGAAGGGTGCGTGTTCCCCCAAATGTTTGCCAGGTCACACCGCGCCACGCATCAGGTGAGATGCTACATCTTTTGTCATCATTTCTCACGTGTTCTCTGCGGCCCAACAAGAGCCAAAGCTGCCCAACCCTGCTCCAGTGTCACTTGTCATCTCCCCACGTAACTCACCAAGATCCCACTCTCAGCCCCGGATCTTGTAAAGAGGAGTTCCAGAGCAGCAACCACCAGGTACGTGAATCCCAGCCTCTGTAGCACCCCGGGAATACGCAGGTTATCCCAGGACACTGGAAAACACACAAGAAATGTGGAAAAGGAGCAGATATGGGCTCTTCCCTAAATACAAATGCTACTCTTCTCCAGGGAGAGCTGAGACCCGCTGCACCTGCAGGTACAAGGGATACCTCCACTCTGCCACCCCGCTTTTCTGTTAATCACAATCCCAGAAAAGCCACCGCTAAAATGACAAACAGGGGTCAAACTGACCAGGAATCTACAGCACACCATCAAACTGCCCCCATACAAGTGGACACTAGAGCAAGGCTATCAAGTCTTCTCAACAGCTCAGCCAAGGAGGCAGCAACTACGGTTGTGGGAATACGAGGAAAAGAGCAGGTTCCACTCACAAGGTCCAAGGCAGTAATTGGGGTTCACAACGATGATTCCCAGCAGGATTAGCAGAAAACTCCTCCAGAGGATTTTCCCAAGCACCTTCCGCTTGGAACTTCCCCACTTCAGCATGGAGCTCAGTGACAACGATATCGACGTCCCCATGATGAACACAAACCTGGAGAACGGAGCGGGTGGGAATTACAGCTGCCAGATGTCTCATCACACAGGTGCATGACAGCAAACACTAAAACTAATGGAGCAGCCTGCATTGCCCCAACAGAATCTGGCCAACTTTACTTCCTCCCATTGCTAGGAATTCCCAAACGGCTGAGCTTGCACTATGGGACCTTTCCACCTCTTTTGGTGGTCAGCTGAGGCAATGAAGTTCGGGGAGGTTAATTGCATTCCAGTCTTTTTGCAGCAATATCCATGGCACCACAAAAATTCCATTTACCCAAAATTAAATTAGCATCTTCGGGGCAGTAAAAGCCAAGCTGCAGAACTGTGATTCAAATTCAGAACTGACCCACTCCCCGCTCTAGATGAGGTTCACAGTCCAAGCCCAGCTCCCATCTCCAAGAGTAACCGTAACGGGTGCATAGTTTAGAAAAGCGCGCCAGGGCAGGTGGGGTAATCGCTTCCCCATAAAACCATCCTCTGGTTATAGACAGATTAGCTTGATTCAGAATTCCCTTGGCTATTTTATCTCTGGATACACATCACTCCAGCTTTGAATCTTGCCAGACTGACCGCCCTCAGCACAGTAGGAAAGGGTTTAACACAAATTCACCCCTCCAAATATATTTCCGCATGAAGGCAAGGTGCCCACAACGTTCTCCTTGCAACCCTTAACATGAAGAATGACTTGAGACAAGGACTATTCTTCAGGAAGACTTACCAGGGAAACACCAGATCTGCAACTGTTAATCCTACAGAGAAAGAGAAAAGAACACATTATTTACCTTGAACCCTCCCTAAATTTTAACAAAATTATTGTTGAATTTCCAGAGGAATTGCAGGCTGCTTTCAATTAACATGATGCTCCAAAATCTAAAACACATCATAAACAAAACTTAGAAAAAGCTAATCATCTTGCTTCACTGCTTTTACCGCTCTTCAAAAATAAAGTCAGAACTGATTGCTGTGTCTTGGGAAAGATTTCAGGGCTGGGATCCTTGCTGTTCTCCACTAGGGCAGTGTGAAGCCCAACCCCTTTCCCAGCAGCTTGCCAATGACAGCATGTTTTGTACAGCACCAAGCACCATCAGCTTGACTGTGGTCATTAAACAACACAGAGAAGATAAAGATATGAACCTGCGTCGAAGGTCACAGAATCATGGAATTGTCAGAGTAGGAAGGGACCTTCTAGAGATCATCCAGTCCAACTCCCCTGCCAAAGCAGGGTTGCCCAGAGCACATCACTCAGGAGCATCCAGGTGGGGCTTGAAGATCTCCAGAGAAGGGGACTCCACACCCTCCCTGGGCAGCCTCTGCCAGGGCTCTGCCACCCTCAAAGTAAAGAAGTTCCTCCTCATGTTTGGGTGGAACTTCTTATATTCAAGTTTGTGCCCATTTCCTCTCGTCCTGTCACTGGGAACCACTGAAAAGAGTCCGGCTCCATCTTCCTTCAACCCACCCTTTAGACACTTGTCAGCATTGACAAGGTCTCCCCTCAGCCTTCTCTTCTCCAGGCTAAAGAGTCCCAGCTCTTTCCTCATCAGGGAGATGCTCCAATCCCTCCATCATCTCTGTTGCCCTACGCTGGACTCTCTCCAGCAGTTCCCTGTCTCTCTTGAACTGGGGAGCCCAGAACTGGAGGCAGGATTCCAGTTGTGGCCTCCCCAGTGCAGAGCAGAGGGGGAGAATGACCTCCCTCCACCTCCTGGCCACACTCTGCCCTACGCAGCCCAGGATCCCATTGGCCTCTTGGCCACAAGGGCACAGTGCTGGCTCTTTACACACAGATTGTGATCTGCAGCCACCCCGTTACTGTGTGAGGAACAGGACTATAGACTGCTTTGCCCATTAACGAAGAGGCCAGATGTTACCCTGCTGAGGCAAACCATCTCAGCCTCCAGCTGAGCAAGGGCTTGCTGCCACAGCTGCAGTGCTAGCCCTCTGTGGATACTGCTGCAGTTCAAACCCAGATTCACCTCCTCAATTGTACTTTACCGTTCCAACTCTCATGTTTGAAGAACCAGTATTTTCCTCCTCCGTAGTTAACAAACACCATAATTATCAGAGAGAGCCTGAAAAGACAACAACAAAAACACACACAAAGCATCACATGTTGATGAAATACATGTGTGTGTATATATATGAGCACACAGTTGATGTTTACCCCCATTAAAACATTTCTAACTGCGAGATCTGGATTATTTTATTTTTAAAGCAAGATTATGTACAAGGTTTCCAGCTTTTGCCAACCAGGAAGCAGCATTTCAAAGACCATGGGTGGCGGTGAACCAAAGCAAGCTCCTTCACACTAAACATATGTTGTTCTTTTCCACCCTCTGCCACAACTTTACTGTTTCCTCAAACTAGATCAACTGCAAAGCGTTTTGGAAAATGCAAGAATTAAAACGTTGATTTTCTTCCAAGTTAAACAGACCCCCTTGACCCATCCATCTGCTATGTGTTTCCATGCCCTGTCAAACCGCCGTTGGAAAAAATCTTCCTTCCCCTTGGAAGAGATGTTTTTGAGCAAGGTCTTGTGCTCACCCTCGGAAGGTGTCCAGGGAACGCAGGCGCTGCCGAGAAGCTGTGCTCCACAGACGTGGGGCGGGATCGCTGCTAACGGAGTCTGTTGTGTGCGGGGACCCGAGCTCCTTGGGGGACAAACCAGACACACAAAGGGCAAGTCAGCAGCTGCACCAGCTGCCTGGGGAACAGAGGTCACCAATCTGCAAACTTTCACATACTGCCTTTGTCTTTGTTCTCCCCATCTTATTTCCCCACTTGCTTCTTCTAACCCCTTCACGGCTCCACCATATCCCAATACTATTTGCAGATGCTCCACGCTACACCTTTGACCAGGGTGCAAACAACAATGCAGTGAAGAGAGGCTGTGATGAGCGCTAGGTCCAGTCCAAATCACCCACAGACTTGCCATCGCTCTGAGCACTGCGTTACAAAAGAGCTGAGCAGATCCAGTTCCTGACTCTCAAACAGAATCCAACCCATTCCATCCCACCAGCACTTGTCTGACACCATAGAGAGACTGATTAGAGAACTAAACTTTCCCTTTGGGTTCCCTAAATCACTCTGATCAGCCCCCAGGGATAGCATAAAGAAGCAGACATTGCTGTAACACAGCTATGGAGATGCCCAGCTACAAGAACTGCTGCAGAGCTCTGCTCCCAAGTCTTTTGCTTCCAGACAGGTTTGGACCTCCTAGATGTGAAGCCCAGACCATGATGATCTATCTAAATCCTAGTACAAAACATGGCTGACGCAGAAACGCCAGCTCTAGGGCTGCCAGAAAAATCTTGATTTAAGATTCTGCTAATATTCCTACTGTGCTGGAAGCAGACACGAAAGCTGGCATTTCTTCCCTTCCCTTACATTGTTTATGGCAGAAGGGGACAGTATTTTCACCAACACGTTTGCTGCAAGGGAACTAAAGAGGGCACAAAGCTGTACGGTGAAGAATTGCAAGAGCTCTACTGGGAATCCACTAAGCTTGCACGGAAACCTAGTCTATCACTCTCCATTGACATAAAATTGCCTGTCTGACATCAATGCGAGACTTGCCAAGGGGAACACACACAAAGGGAAGATGATTTCTAATAAACACCTCCCCAGATGCCCAGATAGCGTGTGTTCCTGAGAGATAAAAACACTACAGAATGCAAATTAAAGATACTGTGGTCACTCACCGAATTAATCAGACGATCAGTTTCTCTGGGGTTCAGTTTCTTGTAAACCCAGTTTCTGACTGGATCGATCCTGAAAGTTAGTAAGAGTTTAAAACACAAAACAAACCAAGAAGTACCTTATGGCCAATTTCATCTTAATACCAACCCTTCAGCGGCACGAAATCAAAAGTTGGGACAGTCTCCAGTTTTGTTTTCCACACATAACCTAACAAGGCTGCAAGGTGTCCCTCAAGGGCAATTGTATCACCCTGTATTTATTATCATATCACAGATTCACAGAATCATCATGGTTGGAAAGGACCTCTGAGATCACCAAGTCCAACCACACACACACACAAAGGACCCCCACAGTCTTGGCCACTAGAGCATGTCCTGAAGTGCCACCTCTACATGTTTCTTCAATCCCTCCAGGGATGGTGACTCCACCACCTCCCTGGGCAGGCCCTTCCAGGACCTGACCACCCTCTCAGCAAAGTCATTCTTCCTCACATCTCATCTAAACCTCCCCTGCCCCATCTTCAGACCATTTCCTCTGCTCCTGGCATGATTCCCTTGGGAGAAGAGGCCAACCTCCACCTCTCTACACCCTCCTGTCAGGGAGTTGTAGAGGGCAATGACGTCTCCCCTCAGCCTCCTCTTCTCCAAACTAAACATGCCCAATTCCCTCAGCCTCTCCTCGTAGGACTTGTTCTCCAGACCCCTCCCCAGCTTGGTGGCTCTCCTCTGGACACACTCCAGCACCTCAATGTCCTTCTTGTAGTGAGGGGCCCAGAACTGGACACAGCCCTCGAGGTGAGGCCTCACCAGTGGGACAGTCACTTCCCTACTCCTTCTGGCCACGCTGTTCCTGACCCAGGCCAGGATGCTGGTGGCCTTCTTGGCCACCTGGGCACACTGCTGGCTCCTGTTCAGCCCACAGGCCACCAACACCCCCAGGTCCTTTTCTGCCAGGCAGCTCCAGCCACTCTGCCCCCAGCCTGGAGCGCTGCAGGGGGTTGGTGGGACCAAAATGCAGGTCCTGGCACTCAGCCTGTGGATTTGAACAGCTATCACAGTTAAAGTTGTGCATGGCAACCCAGTAACAGGATCTGATTTGCAGGCAGGACTACAGTGGGACTCTGAAGCTACACCACACGACGACACACATTTTTAAACACGGCCCCACTTCACGTGTGAGGAGGTATTACAGCTCACTTACTTCATAACAAGGTGCCCGGCAATCAGGATAGCAAGGATCCCCATGTAAACCAGGAATGCAAAGAGAATAGCTACATGAAAGAGAGAAGAACACAACTTTATAAATGACATAACAAAACCCCTTTAGCAGCCTGGGCTTGGCCAGGCATGACACAGACATGACTAAAAGCCCAACCCACCATTCTTCACACCGCCTTCTCCATGCAATACATGTCCCCAGCCTGAGTCCCAGAGGGAAAAAAAAAAAACAACAACAAAACAACCCAAACCAAAAGCAGGCTAGGTTCAAAGTGCAGCTCAGCGACTGCACGCCTCAGCATAAAAGAAAAGCAAAATTAAACTGAACTGCATGACATGGCAATGGTGAGGAAAGAGTCGATTCTGAAGAAGAATCTCTGATGGTGAGGAAAGAGTCGATTCTGAAGAAGAAACTAGAGATTTAGAAACAGCCTCAACATGAAGACGACAGGGGAAATGGTAACAGAGTTTGCGAGCGTGGAGAATTTTTCTTTACAGCTGGAAAACTGGAAGGACTGAAGAATAACCTAACGTAAAGGAAAAGAATGGAAGAGGTGTAGATGAGAGTTTGAAACAGGCCTGGAAAAGAGAGGAACAAAAAAGCAAAGACGCAAGGTTTAAAATTAAAAGCCCAACAAAAATAGAAACACTGTATGAGTTGTTTCCCATTTGGCCAGAGAAGCAAGACAAGGGGAAGAAGAGAGAAGGCTCTGCACACATACATAAATAAACATGCAGGGAAACAGGAACTAACTACGTAAGTTTCTCTCTCCAGACACATGCCCACTGATTTTTTGGGGCTAATCCCTGCTGCAAAAGGGTCGTGGTCATATACGGTGTATGATGTGAAGAGGCCTGATCCTGGTCAGGGCCTCAAGATGGGTGTATAAAACCAGGAGGTAAGGCGCTGAGAGAGGAGGAGCAAGCCCAGGACACATCTTCAGCACAGCATGAGTGGCTGCACGGGCTTTTTAGGAAGTTGGTTTTGCTGGGAGACATGCAAGTTGTAGAATGGAAGGGGAAAACAGAGCATTACATACGGAGGTAGCTGTTGATAGGGCCTTCATTGATGACTAGGTCACAAGAAACAGTTTTGGTGCTTGTGCTTAGGGTCTTTACCACAAGGGAATAATTGCCAAACTCTCCAAAATGATACTGAATCCTGCAAAGGACAAAGGAAATGAAATTTTCTGAGCCAACACCGCCACATGCAGGTACCACCGCAGCACTTGGGGGGGACCGTAAGCCTGAAAGCTTGTGGGAAAGGCGAGATGAAAACTTGGGTTTTCATCTAACAGCAGGATGGAGCCAAGAGCTGCCTGGATCTCCCTTCGCCAAGTATCACCCTCCCATTGCACAACACAGAGGCTTCACCACACGTGCAGAGCCTCCTGCATCACTTGTCTTCTCGAATCACAGACCCTCCTCAAGAGAAACCAGGCACTTGCATGAGCTGGCTCAACCCGTACCATCTCGGCTCCTGCTAGATCCTTTCAGCACAATTACAACGTACGCCACGGTTACAGCAGCGGGGGGAAAGACTGGACTCTAGGTCCAAACAGCCAGGAAAAAGGAGGCGATGAGCAGGCAATCAATGGGTGCATGGCTTCAAGAAACAATATTTTATATATATCTATATTTATTTATAGGATAGAGGTCTCCAGGTGTTCCCTGAGGTCAGGCCACTTACTTGCAGAGCTCTCTGTCACCCACAGAGCTGTTGAGCAGCAGGGTGAGTGGATGCTGGGTGTCAACCATCACTGCCGCCGTGCCTGCTTTCTTCAGGCTCTCATTGCTCGGTGGGACGAAGGCCAGGAACTGATACAAGCACTGCGGGAGAAGAGGGTGAAGGGAACTCATCAGTGCCAAAGGAGAGTGCGAGGGGGCATCCCGCTTTGCACAGCAGCAAAGATGGAATCATAGAATTGTCTAGGTTGGAAGGGACCTTCAAGATCATCTAGTCCAACCATCAACCTAACTCTGACAAAAAAACCCATCACTAAACCATGTCCCCCAGCACCATGTCAACCCGTCTTTTGAACACCTCCAGGGATGGTGCCTCAACCCCTTCCCTGGGCAGCCCATTCCAAGGCTTGATAACCCTTTCCGTGAAGAAAATTTTCCTAATATCCAACCTGAACCTCCCCTGGTGCAACTTGAGGCCGTTTCCTCTCATCCTGTCGCCTGTGACTTGGGAGAAGAGACCGACCCCCCCCTGGCTACACCCTCCTTTCAGGGAGTTGGAGACAGCGAGAAGGTCTCCCCTCAGCCTCCTTTTCTCCAGGCTGAACACCCCCAGATCCCTCAGCATCTCTTCATCAGACTTGTTCTCCAGACCCCTCACCAGCTCCGTTGCCCTTCTCTGGACCCGCTCCAGCCCCTCAATGTCTTTTTTGTGGTGAGGAGCACAAAACTGGACACAGCCCTCGATGTGGGGCCTCACCAGTGCCCAGTCCAGGGGAACCATCACCTCCCGAGTCCTACTCCCCACGCTGTTCCTGACCCAGGCCAGGATGCTGGTGGCCTTCTTGGCCACCTGGGCACACTGCTGGCTCATGTTCAGCCCACAGGGCC